GGTCTCACCAAAACCAAATTAAGAGATCTTTCTCTTTCTTCTTTATATAGATAATCTAGTTATCCTGCCTCTCCTTTTAAATAATGCTGAACTATATGTCCTTATAACCCTTTCCAAAGACAAAGATATTATTGTAAAGTACACAGATAAAGGAAATGACATAGTTACCTCAAAAAATATGACTACATTTCTAAAATGAACCCTCTTTAAATGATTCATAAAAATTTAAAAAGCTTGGATTATTAAAATAGAGAAAATAATCCAATGATTTGTTAAAAAAACTCAACCTAGTAATGAGTATAGAAAATTAAACATATTTTCTTAAGTTCTAACTTAAAAAAATTAGAATGCAATAGTTTTTTTTCTAAATCAAGATACCTAAGGAAGATTAAAAAAAAAACTTTCTGTACATTGTGAATACATTTTCACCAGCCTTTATACTATTTATGGCAACTTTATACAACTTAAAACATAATCTAGTCATTCTTTTGTAAATTGTTTAGGCAGAGTATTCATGATGCAACTTAGCTGAATTGATGGCAACTGCTTGTTGTAGAAATGCAAATTTAGAGGGCAATGTTTCAAAAGTCTTCCTTTTGTCTTCAGGTCAGGTGTGTATGGTGTTGTTGGTCTTTATAGTATTCTTTTGGATTGTGGAGAGCATTTTATGATTGGTTGGTTTATCCCTGTTTCTGATTGGAGGAGAGACTTCCTGTAGATTCAACCTCTAATCTTGAATCTCTGTTTAGTGAAGGTTTTATTGTGTTAATGAAAAATGATTCTTTAATTTTTCTTGTCTTCAAAAGTTTATCTAGATTCTAGTTTTCCCAGTTTGTTTTGTGTCCAGTTGATATGGTGTGTTCTGCAATGGCTGAATTTTGTGTTTTCATGAGTCTTGTACTGTCTTTATGTTCTTTTATTCTTGTCACAAGTCTTTCTGTCATTTCTCCAATGTAGGTTTCATTGCAGGAACACAGAAGTTCATAAATGACATTTTTTTGGTTCTCATGGGTAGGTCTATGTTTAATTTTCACCAGAATAGATCTTAATGTCTAAAGCACTCTATGATCTTTTGGCATTCTATTTCGATGGATATCTTATTGCATATGTTTTATGTTCCCTTATTTAGGCAATTGGATCATACCATATTTTACTGACGTTGGATGATAGGAATGGAAGTTTAGGTATCTGTTCATGTGGGTGGGTTTTCTGTATACAATTGTGATGATTTTTCTCTCTCGTCTGCTGATGAGTATGTCAAGAAATGGTAAGCTGTTTTGTTCCTCTATTTTCATGCTGAAGTGAATTCATTTATCTATAGAATTATGATGTTCTAAAAAGGCTAATAAGTATTCATGACTGCAGGGCCTGATAACGAAGGTGTCATCAACCCAACATCTGTAAAAACATGGTTTTATATGTATGGAGGAGAGGGCTCTCTCTTCAAAGTCTTCTATGAAAATGTCTGCTAGGATTGGAGAAAGTGGTGATCTCGTGGCTTTGTTCATAGAATTCCTCCTTGTATTGGAAATAACCTGACTGTAGGCAAATAGTCATTAATTCCATGATGGCATCTATCTTAATGTTAGTTCCATTTGGTAGAGTGTTGTCATTCAGAAATCGTTGTTGGGTGATATGAAGGGTTTCTCAGGTTGGTACATTGGTAAATAGGTCTATGATGTCAAAACTGACTGGAATATTCTGGTATCTGATGTGTAGCTTTTGAGTTGTTCTATGAAATCTCTCAAATTGTGAATGTGATGTTCATTATTCCCTTATAGTGGAGATATGATAGGTATACCAAGAATGTAGCTAGTTAATGGCAAGGTGAGTTTATGGCACTGATAATAGGTCTTAAAGGTATACTAAGTGTGTATCTTAGGTAGTCTGTAGAACTGAGAGGGAAAATTGTCATTGGTTCTTAAGTCTTTGGCTAGCTTCTCATAAATTTTGTTTCTTAAGTTTGTTCAGTGTTCTGTTGATGAGTCTCTCTATCTTTTCTGTGAGTTCATTGGGGATCTTTTTGTATTTGGTGTTTGTCTAGTAACTGTTTGATCTTCGTGTCATGATTTTTGACATCTATGATGACTATACTGTTTCCTTTGTCTACTGGTAGAATCTTGATAGTGTTTTCCCATTTTGGATGGTTCTGTGTGTTGCATTCCTGTTTAGTGATATTCAGTTTTGGTTTCAGCCATAGGTTTCAGGAGGCTTTGTGCAGCAGATTGTAAGGTTGCAGCTATGTCAACAGTTTGAACTGTGCTAGGTTGTATCACAAAGTTTAGACGTAGGTTAAGAATCTTGTTTTCTGTATCACTTAGTAATATCAAACTGTAATTGTGAACTATGCTTGTAGTCATAAGATTATCTGTCTTGATAAGTCTGTTGAATTTTTGGACTTGTTTCTTTTTATGCTTTCTAGGTTGGATGTATAACATTTAGTGTAAAGATTTAATAGGTCTAATGCTCTTTTATTTGTGGCAAAAAGTTGTTGGAGCTCAGCATATTGTGTTTCAGTTGTCTTGGTTAGATGGTACTTCTTACATCTATGTTCTTCTATATGTAATCTTAGGATGTGTCTGCTGGTGTTGTGTTTCTATAACAGGCAGTTTTCATCCATTCAACTAATTTTTAATAATCTAGTCATGTCACTTTTGAACAGTTTTTATTATTTGCTATAGTTAACCCTCCTATACAAAAATGTTACTCGAATGTATAAACCTTTAAAATGATCAAATGTGCTTTCTCATAACAAAAACAGCTGTAACTCTACTCATAACATCTCCAGTATTTGTATCTGTCTTTCCTGTTTGAGAGCCATGTGATGTTCTAAGGTCATAACTTTTGTATTAAAAGCAAAAGTGATCTTGAGTGCCTTGTGCACACTGAGCAACCTATGTTCAGTCTTTTTCTTTCTGCTAGACTCATTCAAAGTCAGAAAAAGTAAGATCTTTACTCCTTGATATAGTATTCAATGGATCTCCTACTTTTGTGGTGGATGTATGGAGTTACCAGGAAAGACATAACCTGTAACACATACATCCAAGAAAGTATAGGTGTGACAGCCATACAGAAAATATATGAGGACAGTGCCTCAGTTGGCATAGATGCATCAAGAGAAGACCAGAGGAGTATCTTTGGTAGTATAGTCAAATCACTGGAAATTGAAGTAAAATAACCAAAAAAAAAGATGGTTTCACACATTAGAGAGAACATAGGAATGTGGAGTTGAAGATGAAGAAAATACTACTAAAGTTTTGTAAACATCAATATATGTTGACAAATAAACATGGTGAAGTTATTTAAAACTTAAATATCAACTGGAAAAATGAAGATTTAGATTTAAAGAGTGCAATGTTATATACAAATAAAACCTCTAAACTTATTCATATTCATGTTAAAACATCTATAAATTCAAAACGTAGAAATCAAGTTACATGAAGTAAATTGAAATCTTAATTTAAAGGGTTAAATATCTATAACAGCAACAGAAACATGGATGACTGAGTCTTTAAATGTCTAAAATAGCACGGGTGAACACTAGGCAACATGGGTGGAGTCATTATATATCTAAAATAGCAGGTGAACACTCAATAACATGGGTGAGAGAGTCTTTAAATATCTAAAACAGCATGGGTAAATACTTAGCAAGATAGATAGAATCATTAAGTGGGTGACAGAGTCCATATTCACCCTGACACAATGTTAAAGTGATGAACAACCACTTTTTGGCATGAGGATGAGTTCTTATACTATACCCTCTGCACTTCAGATAAATCATAATAATAGAGATACCTCAGAAGAAGCAACAGGACAGAAACCAATAACATACCTTCCATAGCAGTTTAAATAAGATACCAAAATGTAACAAGACCAGAATTTTCTAAAAAATCAATACACAGTTAAAATATCAAAGTATGATTAGTACTGCATACATTTAAAGTGAATAAGAATGTTCTCTAGAGTAATGTCTTAGTGTTAATTCAAGTAAGCATAAAACTATTTCAATTACACTCTTAAAATTTAATTATTCTCTTCAATACCATTCAGCCAAACTGCTTCACTTCTGCGCTGTGTACATGTGAGTGGCAAGACTTGACAAGAATAAATAAAAAAAATCAAAATGCAAAAAATCTTTCAAAAAAAGGCCATAGCCATCATAATAGCTAACTCTGTAGTAATACTTACACTTCAAATGTCTTAGTTGCAATGCCTATGTTCTAATATCTTGGGTTTAATAAATTTATCATAAGTAAATATTAATAATGTATCAGATATCATAACTCAAGACTTTTTCTTGAGACTTTTTATCAGAAATTTTTGTCAGGTTTTGTATAGGGGCCAGATTCTTTTACAGTAGGTGTGTGTGTGACTTGTTGACAATAAATGGACAGCATACAAGTCACTTGTTTTAAAATAATATATTCCAAACAAGTCAAACATGTGTATAAAATATTTTTATACTATTGGTTATCACAGTTGTATCCAGAGCTTTATATAATTGTCTCCTTTTCGTCAAAGTCCACACAGGCAGGTTCAATTACTTTAGGACACCCTTTGATAAATTATTCTTCTTTATCTCTGTTGTTACAATACCATGTAAAACTCACTTTATATATTGACTGTTACAGCTAAACTAATAATCATGCAGTCTAACTTACTTTAACTTCTTCCTTGCACTCTATATCTGCATTTATTTATAACATGCAACAGAAAAATCTAGAAATATCTAGCCTTCTAGTAGCAACAATATTATACATAATGAGAAAAACTTGGAAGTTTCATGTAAAATGACATCAACAATATTACAAGAACCTAGTACATCAATTAAACTACATACACAATATACGATACATACAGAGTTATGCAATGAAACTTGTCATAACTATTTCTTTTAAAATAATTAACTTTTAAGACACTCATTATGAAAACCAAATAATCATTAAATATTTGATCCTTAAATGAACTAAACAGTCTTGTATATCCAACAATTTTCATACCCGAACTGTTGCCATCATAATACAAATTAGGAATTTTTATGGTTTTTGAGTCTATAATATAAACAGCATCTGACTGAACTCCATGTCCATCTCTAGAGAATTCAGAAATTCGCTGAGGTGATGGAGGCTCAAATCCTTCTGGAATGTAGATATCTGCATAACTGACCTGAAAAATGTCACAAACAAAAGTAACTCTAACTATCAAGTCAGTACAGAGAACATAACTAACATGTCATTAAAATGAAATACTTTTTTTTCATGACAGTTTTTACATAAAACATACCTATCAGAGTTCATATTGGCACTAACCAAATTTATCCTTTCTTCATTCCTAATGTTTTTCAGTACCTGGTATTAAAATGTGTAATAAAAGGCAAAATAAAAAGTAACTGAAATTTCTAGCATTACACAAAGATTATTAGAAACTTCAATGTCTCATATACAAATACAAATGTAGACCTAATAACTGTTTACAAATTATTTGTTGAATACTTCAATTGCTGTAAATCGACATCATGTTACTCAAATCTTCTGAATTTTTCTCATTGCCTTAAGTGAGTACTGTTATGTCATAAATCTCTTAGTTTATAGCAAGTTCTAGGCCTCAATCAGGCAATATATATATACATAGGTGACCAAGTTAGTGCAAATAGCGAAGTTAGTGAAAGTAAAAGTGAAGTTAGACTGTGTGTGAGTTATAATGGACAATTTGTAAAGTGAGTTTCACAACTTGTATTGTAGTAACAGAGATAAGAGGAGAATAATTTGTCTTGTCAAGGAGTGTTCTAAAGTAACTGAACCCACCTGTGTGGACTATGATGTAAAACAGATATATTTAAAGCTCTGAACACAACTGTGGTAACCACGGGGTAACATAAGTGAATTTATCACTGATTGTATTGTGATAACAGAGTATAGTAAAATAATTTATCTTGTCAATTGGGTTCTAAAATAACTGAACCAGCCTGTGTGGACTTTTGACAAAAAAAGAATAACTTAAAGCTCTGGATTCAACTGTGGTAATCAACTATATAACAAATATACACCTGGAAAAAAGTTAAGCACCCCCAAATATTTTTCAGGATTGCTTATTGAAAATAAGGTTT